TTAAAAAAAATAAATAAATAAATATAAAAAAAAATTAAAAGTGTACCTGGTACATAGTAAGAGCTATGGAAGCATTTGTTAAATAAAAGAAAAATACTTCCCTGGGTTGTCAAGTTTCTTCCTACCCCAGTGAATTTCCACCTTCAGGTTCTTTTTTTAATTTTATTTTATTTATTTATTTTTTTTTCTTTTTTCTCCCCAAAGCCCCCCAGTACATAGTTGTATATTGTTCGTTGTGGGTCCTTCTAGTTGTGGTATGTGGGATGCCGCCTCAGCGTGGCTTGATGAGCAGTGCCACATTCGCGCCCAGGATTCGAACCAACGAAACACTGGGCTGCCTGCAGTGGAGCGCGTGAACTTAACCACTCAGCCACGGGGCCGGCCCCCACCTTCAGGTTCTTAAACCCACTTTGGGGGCCCCTCTTCCCCTTGGTCAATTTTCAGTCTTCCTTCTAGAAGGAGCTGAAATGTCAGGTCCACTGTGAAGCCTTTCTATTACCCTTTGCTCGTCCCCCTATTTGCTGTATTACAATTTGTATCTGTTTTCTGTGGTTGCTGCGACAAATCACCACAAACCGGATGGCTTAAAACAACACAAATTTATTCTCTCGTGGTTCTGGAGGCCGGAAGGTGAAATCAGCATCACTGGGCTGAAATCAAGGTGTTCGCAGGGCCACACTCCTTCCAGAGGCTCTGGGGGGAGATCCGTTCCTTGCCTCTTCCGGCTCTGGTGGCTGTCCCCATTCCTGGGTTTGTGGCCGCACCACTCGAGTTTCTGCCTCGGTGATACCAGGGCAGCCTCCTCATCTGCCTGCGTTAAATCTCTTCTCCCTCTCGCTTGTAAGGACACCTGTGACTGCACTGAGGGCCCACCTGGACAATCCAGGCTAACCACGCCATCTCAAGAGCCTCAATTACCACATCTGCAAGACCTTTGCAAACCACAGAAGGCAAGATTTACAGCTGCCAGGAATTAGGAACGAACGTTTTGGGATGCCTTTATAAGTGCTCGCATGTATGTTGGCCTCTTCACCTTTGTATGACAAGGGTCCATCATGGAATAAGCACATAATGTGTAAGCAATAGATGACATGCATACAGAGGTAGAGCGGCACGAGGTATAGGGCCATTGTTCACGCTCATCTGCATTCCTTCTTGGCTAAGGCTTTATTTCCCCAGGCCAGAGCTATTTCTTTCATGTGCTAATCTCTGGTTGGAAGGATATTTACTCATAAATCAGACTGACGTCTAGGTTAGAGAAATTAGGCAAAGGGGGCCTTCATCCTTATATTGCTTCTTCTGGGCTACAGTGAGGTGAATTAACCAAAAATCTCCATTCAGACTCCATCCCTTCCCAGCCCTGGGGCGGAAGGGAGTGGAAAAGGTGGAGGGGCTCTGGCAGCTGGAAGGCGACTTTCACGGAATGTGAGAATGTGGAGTGGCAGAGTGACAAGCATGAGCTGCATTAAGAGTACTGTCATCGGTTTGCCCCAGCTGGTTTGTTGCCATTCCTTGGCCGTTTATTTTAAACACGGTTTTCTCCGTAATTTAAGCTCCTAACTTCACGGCTGTTGCTTAACTTACCATTTCCCCAGTTTGAGTCACCTGAGTTCACACAGGCATTTTTCTGAAATGAGGCTGTTTCTTTTCCAGTGTTCTTAAATCCCAGTCACCTTTTCCCCCGAGAATAAATCTGTTTCAGCCGCGGCTCACCTGGAAAGACAACTCGGCAGCTAGGCTGTTATTTCTCTTGGCTGTTGGAAATCTTGATGAAAGAGGAAAAAATTAATTGCAATAAAAAAAGCAAAGAAGTAGGTTATTTTGCACAATTAATCCTTGAAACAGTCAATTGTTTACTGTATTATAATTGTTTGTTTACTTCTATGTCAGTCTTTCCATCTTTGTGCTGGTTAGATTCCCCCAGAAATCAGGAAGTTAAAAAACTACAGAGCCCCCCCCAATTTATCCAAGATTTGCCTAAGTAGGCATGTGTCCAGAAACTTCTAAGGTTTGAGAAAATTCTTTCGCTAACACATAACATCCATCTGTAATAAAACATAATTGTCAGAGTCTATTTAGGTAGCATGACTGGCATAAAGCTCCTCTAACATAATAGTCTGGCACCTGTCAGAGGCTTTTTTGAACAGAGTAGACTCCTGAAGCCTGTCCAATAAGACCTACTTACCTCCTAAAATCATCTCGAACAACACTCTCCCTCTAGCTCTGCTCCAGCTACTCTGTCTTTCATATGGGTCATGCTTCTTCCTATCAATGGAACTTTGCACATGCTGTTCCCTTTGCTTAGAATGCTTGTGCCTCCTTGTCTTCTCTTGATTAAGTGCTAGTCATCCTTTAGAACTTAGTTCAGGCATTATTCTCACTGAAAAACTTTCTCAGACTAGGTCAAACCCCCAAAGCACTGCCTCAGCACTCAGACCACTGACGGTTTGTATTTGTCTGTGTGATTATCTGATAAATGTCCACTTCATCTGCCAGACTGCACAGAGCTCTGTGAGGGCAGGGAATAAGTCAGTCTTTGCTACCATGACATCAGCAGCCCTTACGACTGTTGCCGGAACACAGTCAGCATGTAACAAATATCTAAATGTTGACTATGTCGTGGAATCTCCTGCTAGCTCTGCCAATGGGTTATTAGGCAAGTTACTTAACTCTACAGGGCCTCGCTCTCCTCTTTGGTAAAGAAAATGCTTCTTTCATTCCCCAAATCCTAGGATATTTATGCTTCCTGTCTTGAGTCTACAAGATTGATCAGGCTAAAGCTAGAAAGTTAGAAAGTCAACATTATCTGTTATCGGCCTGCCGTGTATCTCCTCACATGGAAAAATCAGATGCCAAGCAAGAAATTGGAATTACCTTCAACATCTTTGCCTCTTTCCCTCATGCCACTGCCTTGATTCCAGCTTTCTTCACCTCTCACTTAAAATACTGCAGATGCTCCCTTAACTGGTGGTCCTGGGTCCAGTGCTCTCCCCTTCCAGTCTATCTGCAAAGCTGCCAATAGAACTCGGTCTAAAACACTGGACCGATCAATTGTGGCACCCCTCTGCTTGAACGCTGTCAGTGACTCCCACATCACCTCTGGGACAAAATTCATTTGTTGAGAAGATGCCCTTCCACTGTTCCTGCCTCACCTCCTGACCGCTCCTTGAGAGCTCACGCTCCACTCAGAACGGCTCCAGGGGGCCCAACTACACATGGTTCTTTCAAGTCCCTCTGTCTTTGCATGCAGTTCCTTCCGTCTGGAAAACTGTTCTCCTTTCCTGCACTTGCCAGGTCCCGTCCATCCTTAGGCTCAGCTCAAACGTTACTTGAATGTGGCACCTGCCTTGATCAAACTCTCATTACCCAGGCTGAGCTTGTCACACACTGCCTGTGTTCCCACAGAACACTTTGTACAAGCCACTGTGATGACACTTATCTCAATGAGCTGTAGTTGTCTGCAGAGGGACATTTGGGTTAAGAGCATGGGCCTCAAATTCAGACTGAGTTGAGGTTGAAACCAAATTCTGCAACTTACTGTGTGGCCTTGGAAATCCTTCTTTCTGAGTTCTACTTTCCTGATTTTGGAAAATGGGAGACAGAACACCTGACTCCCTGGGCTGTTATAATCATGGATTAAAGGAGATAATGCACTTGGCACAAAGCCTGACCCATAATACTCAATAACTAACGGTAATGATCATTGGCTTGTCAACGTGTCAAATGCAAAGATCCAGGCTCACGTCTTGCCCATCTTTCTATCCCAGTGACTGGCACACAGTGGGTGCTCAGTGAATGCTTCTTAAAATGCATAAACGAAATAGTATCCATAATGCATTTTTCTTTACAGGAAGGCTAGAGGTTTATTCATTTTAGGAATTTTATTCAAGTGTCAAAAACTCTACAGATCTTATGACATACTCCAAATCACATTCAGCTTTCCCTTTGCTAAACTAGCCTGCACTTAGACGTGTGACAGTTTCAGATCAAACCTAGCTTTAAGTATTAGCGTTTTCTGCTCAATTCTCTCTTCACACTGAGTCTTCACTGTATTCACATCAGTTTCAGCCTTTACACAATCCTCTGTGGAACCCAGATTATATCCTTCTTCCTCATGTGAGCAACACCCACAGCATGCATGTGTATGGGACTTGGGTGCCAAACACTGTTCTATGAGCTTTACGTGTTTTAAATCCGCACCATGACTCATCATAACCTAACTGACTTTTCTGAGATGACAGTGAGCAAACCGATTCAAACCACTACAAGTTCTAGCCTACTGTTCTGGCCACAGCCTGGCGTTGCCCGCAAGAAGCCTAAGTTCCTTGAAGGCAGTTGCCTCCAGTTTCCTCTCCATGGTCCCTGTCCGTCCGCAGAGACACCCAGGGAGCTCGGCTCACTGTGTACTTCCTCTTCCGTCCACGTAATTAACTTCTACCAGGGGCCAGAGGGAAGACTGTGTTCACACCGAGTACTCGAGAGACGCCCCAGGTTTAAAGCCTCACAAGGTTTAAAAACTTTGAACCTGGGGAAAGCACCCTTTAACTGTCAGCACATCAAACTTTCCCACCGTGGTTTCTCTTCGGTGTTCCCCATGACTCCTCCTAGGGTGTCCCATCAGCACATAAGAGCAGAAGGTTGAGAAGCATCTTTGCCCCCTTCAATTTACCCCGGGCGGGTCATCCTATGGGCCACGCCGACTGTCCAGGGGAGGCCTTGGATACCTGTCCCCCTAGGCGACCCCATCCCGCCCACGGGTGACGGGACGGCGTCCGGCTCTCCGTAGAGACGCCGCGGAGGCGCAGACGCCGGCTGCCCTCCTTCCAGGAGCCGCCAGGGCTGCAGCTTTGTCGCGACCACACCAGAAACGGCCCGGGGCGCGTGCGGAGCGGCCACCGAGGGTCCCGCGCGCCGGGCTGGGCGGTCGGCCTGTCCCCCTCCCGCGGGGGCGCGTCAGGACCGGGCGGGGCCGCCGTCCCTTCCGGGGAGCGCTGGCGGCCGGGCCGCGTCCGCCGGGCGGCTCCCCACCCCGCCCCCGCGGCTCTGGGTGACGCTTCTCCAATAACAGCTCGCGGGGAGCGCCACTCCGGGCACAGCCGGCGCCCTCCGTGCCAGCGCAGCCGCCCGCCTCGCCGCCACCATGCGGGCCGAGGGCGACGGCGGCCTGGAGCGCTTCTGCAGCCCCGGCAAGGGCCGGGGGCTGCGGGCCCTGCAGCCCTTCCAGGTGGGGGACCTGCTCTTCTCCTGCCCGGCCTACGCCTACGTGCTCACGGTCAGCGAGCGCGGCAACCACTGCGAGCACTGCTTCGCCAGGTAGGGCGGCGGCGGGGCGCGCGCGCGGGCGGGCGGGGGCGCGCGCCGGGGCTCGGACCGCGGCGGGAGCGAGTGCGCGCGGCGCGCGGGGTCCTAGCGCCCGCGCCAGGGGCAGCGGTCGCGGGGGCGCGCGGGCGCGGGTGGTGCGTGTGAACCCCACGCCGGGCTGTGCCACGTGCGTTAGGAAACAGGAGCCAAGTTCCCGCGGCACGCCTTGCACGGCACGTTTTCAGAGTTGCTCACACGCAATGTGCAAACCTGGGAGTGCAGGGTCCTGCCCTCCCACTTGGGCTCGGGTCCAGGCTTGGTCCCAGCGTGGGCAGGCGCTGCCCTCTCGGTGCAGTCCGGGTTCGGGCAGCCATAGTCTGTCACCTTTAACTTGTGCTTCCTGCGGTGTATTGTGTCCCCCACAGCTCAGCTCTGCCGCAGACTTGCCGTTTCCTCCAAGGAACTTAATGACACCTCATATTTCATGTAAAGTACGTGGCCCCTCTTCTTCCTTTCTCACTCTCTGCACTTGGTGTTGGGAGAGAATCCCGAGGGGTACTGACCACACACCCGGGATTCTGAGGGGCTGCACTGATGGGATTTATCTAGCCCTAGTTTGAGATTGAGAAAACGTGGTCGCTGGGGGGATGAGGCAAAGTGTGCGACTGGAAATGGTATTTACCTGTAGCATATCATATGTGTCTATGTCTATGTCCATATGTATTCACATACACTAACACGTAATTATATCCTCAAGCCTTAGGACAGTGACCTCAAAGGCACATTAGAAATCACCAGTGCAACACTCTCTCCATTTTACAGGCGAGAAAACGAATGCCCAGACAGGAAGTGTGACTGTATGTATATTCACGCTGCAGTTAAGGGAATGAAATTGGTCTGTTCAGTTCTGCCCGTTTCCCCCCTAGTGAGGTGCTCCATGAAATGACCGAGACAGGAAGCGTGGCGTTGGAGTTAAGTTTGTACCTGGCCTTCCACTGCTTTCTGAGGAACCAGCCCTGCTTTACTCTCTTTGAACCTCAGTTTCTTCATCTTTGAAATGGAGATTCCCAGATTAAGCCAGCCTGAGGTCCTGCAGGTACCTGTTAGTACAGGTCTCAAGTCCAGCATACACTGAAGTACTCGATCTCCGAGATCTGTGCGCCTTATTCTGCGATAAGACTTAGCAAAAGAAGGGACAAAAGCTAAATACTCTAGTAATCTTGCGCAGACTCCCTGCCAGAGCTGTCTTCCGCTCGGGGGGACCTGGAAAGGAACTAGACACAGAATCATGCCGTGGGCAGCTTAAGGGCTGTATGTGATGTGGCTCTTTGAATTGGTGAGCCAAGAGCTAAAGGGTCATGGCACCACTTTGCGACGTTTGAGTGAAGTGAGCATTGGGTTTTCCCAAAGTTAAAAAGGCTGCTGTGACTGGTCCCTTGATCTTCTGAGCCTCGCTGTGGCTCGGAGTCTGAAGCAGTGTGGGTGTCTGGAGTGGCAGGAGCAAAGCAAGGTCACCCAGCACAGAAGGTGCCTCCCTCCCTCAGGGATCCTGGTGATTCCCCGGAGTCCATGGTGAGAGAAAAGACTGCAGTCCAGGCACATAGTAGGTCTCAGATGATTGTCACTGGTCCTCCCCTCCAGTGAAGTAAAGATCAAATCCCTCTGGGTTCAGAGGGGAGAAGCAGAGCTGAGAGATGCTTCCCTTTAGCTCTGAGTCTCCTAACTGTGTCTACTGCGCACACCCCAACTTTGAAAGATTAGTGTGCAGTCAGGTGCAACTTTGCAGATCACCCTGCCATATGTGACGGAGTTTGCTCCCCCCCTTTTTCTGAAGTTAGTGTCGCTAACTGTTGCCTTAGACCCCTCACTAGGGCTGCCACGTGGCTGGGGCGGTCTCCTGCACCTGCCCCGACCTTTCTCTCTGTGGCTTAGGTGAACTTCTGTCAACACCCACAGTTGGTTTCCTTTCTCTCCCCAAGGAGTCATTTGAAATCAACTAAAATGTACAAGAAGTGATGATACCGCGATGCCTACGAAATGAGAAGTCTTTGTACCCCACGCTATGATTTCTATTAAATCCAGTTAGTTTAGAGGTAGTGGTTAAATTATTCTCATAGATTGAACACCGTTTCCTCTGTCAACTGTTTGTATGTGTTCGAGGACAAATCAGTCTGTCCAGCTGTACTAGAGGAACATGTCTGTGTCCCATTGTGCCTCAGGGGAGAATGACTAGAATTCTCAAATAGGGAAACGTACAGGGCAAAATGCACTACTTCCCCTCCTCGTCCCTCAAAAAGACAACTGCTTCTCAGCCTTTCTGTGCCAGAAGTTTAACATACACAGTATTGCTTAAGATGAATAAGCCAGTAGAGATTTTCCATGTCATAGTCATGGTATCAGAGTTTAACTTATTTTGAAGGAAAATAAGTGATTTCTTCAGGAATAAGTCTGTTCTATAAGTTAAAAATAATGGGAAGTTTCTTAGGTCACAATGGAATAATGGGATGCTTACTGTCAGCGCAGTTCAGACAAAGGTTTGTTTCTGGGCGTTTTAAATTTGTATCCCATTTTCTCAGTTCAGTGGGTGATGCCTGGGAAGATGTGTGTCTTGCCTCAGCTGCTAGAAGGCAGTTCCTAAAAATATAAATGTCTTTCAATTGGGAACTGTCCTTATCAGACCTCTTCGATATGTTTTCTCTGTACACACAGACACACAAACAAACACACACACACACACAGACATGAATGTTTTTTGGCCATTGGCCAACTTTTTATGACAGAATTGTTTTATGTTATATTTCAAATTTGGTATTTGGCATATTGTAACACGATGTAATTTGTCTCAGAAAGGGAAAAATCCACGGTAAACCTGTGTACCATCTGAATATTCATTCTGTGTGCAGTTTCTTGGGTGAGCACATGTGCCCTTCTTGATCATTTAAGGTCATTGAAGGGCAAGAATCTTGTCTTTTTTGTTAGTTTGTTCAGAATATGGGAGAAAGGTAGGAAGGCCCACTTAGTCTCCTTAGATTTGAGCTGTTGGAACCCAGTTTCGGGGAATTTATATTATGTCTGGCTTACTCAGAGTGGTTGTTTTAAAAATTAGAATGTTTGCAGGAGCACAGCACAGTGATCAAGATGTCCTTTTTCAGCAGTTATGAAGATGTCGTGTCCCCTGCATTTATTCAGTAGCTGTGTTCATCTCCTCTTTTCCATTGTTTTACCAACCTGTCAAAGGAATCTCCACTTGATCTTAACCAGGATTAAGAGCCGTGAACTCTTGATGCTGTTTTCGTAAGGCTGTCTGAAGTTGTCCTGGTCCTGGCCACCTGAAGCTGCACAGGCAAAGGCGGTGTTGTCCCAGGGCTACTGTGATTCTGCTAATTCTGAGAATTGGAGTCACTAAGGAGAGAAATGGCTTCAAATCTATTCAAATTATCTTGCTTTCTCAATGAAAAATTGGGCACATGCTCTCATAGACGATTCCCCCCTTTCTACATGTATTTTTAAAAAATGGGTAGTAAGATAAAAACATACAACAGATTTCCTCTAAAAGGTTATAATAAAGATTACAAAACCCAGCCTTCTGTCTATTAGATAATGAGATATTGTGTTGTCCCTTTCAACATTTCAAAGTTTGTATTTATTTAGAGACAAAGGAGGGACTTTGGTCTCAGATTGACTTGGTTGGAATTCTGGCTTCATCCCTTCCTGATGGTTTGTCTTTAGGCGAATTATTTAACCTCTCTGAACTCCCAGGTTCCTTTGTGTGTAAAATGTGCGCATTAATACCCACCTTCGGAGCTGGTCCTGGGATAGTGGCAGTCACGTGGTCAGTTCAGCCTAACACGTAGTAAGCTGTCAAAATTGGCCTGGTGTCTCGTGTGTACTTGTTTGATGAGCTCTGCCGGCTTAATGTTAAACAGAGTGGTAAAATATTATAATTTCAGAGACATTTTTATGAAGTTGGGGTTGGGGTGGGGGATCCTGGGAAGGAAGTACTGGAAATTGTTGACCAGTGGAGTTGTCATTCAGATGGCACATTGACCTAGACCTCAAAGCAGTGGTTCTCAGCCTTGGATCCCCCAAAATAATGTGGGTGTCTGGAATCAGTTTTCAGTATTTCCAAAAACCTAATGGAGATGATATCATGAAGCTACTCAGCTAAAGCTTTTTTTAAAAAAAGAGCTTTTTCTAGCTGCACAGTGCTTAGATGTTTTAATACTCTTCTACCATGAGGTTAAACAAATATTTGAAAAGAGTAAAGGAGGGAAACAGAAGTTTCCACATAACAAGGACGGCCTGGCTGCTCTGTTCTTTTTGTTTAGTATGAATCTTTCCGCTGTGGCGAGGAGCAGTCCTGTAAGACTTCAGATGTGTCAACTGCTGTAACTCACTAATTTTTCAGACAGGGGGGACACAATTTCTGTTATAGCTTTTAGGGGCTCAGGGACCAAGTTGCACGTTTGGAAACAATTGGAGCTGAAAGAGACGGAGGAGCAGCAGGGTGTCCTGGAGTGAAATCCAAACCCTGAGGAGTGAAAATCAATGCCCAACACCTTTCCCCTGCAAAAGCAATTGCACGAAATCTCTCAGTCCAAAAACTCTGAAGATCCCACATAAAATGACCTTCCTTTAAATCCTGTTGCTCTTTGCAGCTCTTCAGGCGTTTCCAGATACGTCTTATTTTGATCCTCCCGAGAGTGGCTGGGGTAGAGAGGGCCTTATCCCATTCTATGTGGGAAAGAAACTGAGTGTTGGAAAGGGTCAGTTGTTTCCTTGCATGTCACATATTTTTGGTCAAATATTTATTGAGTGCCTCCTAAGGGCCAGGCTTTGTGGAGCCATGTCTTCCTATTCTGAGTGTGAATTGTGTGCTTCACACCTGGACGCAGGGACTTAATTCATCTCTGATTTCTCCTCCAGGGAATGCAATTTTGATCCCCACTTTTTCTAGGCTTCGCCCTCCCCCAGTAGGTAATTGAACAAACTAGCATGTTGTTTCTAAGTTT